CCACCAGAATAGATATATACATTATAAACACCAAGAAATTCTGTTGTTAATGTCCATAAATGAAAACTATTCGCTATTGTTGTTAAAAGAAAAAAACAACCCGTTGAAATTCGACGAAATTCATCTAATGAACAAAATATGATTAATGAAAATATATTACCAATAAAACCAAGTCCATAACTATTCAAAATAAAAATTAAAGGTTTAAAGCATTGATAGAAAAACTATATATCTTACACAAGACATGCAGCAATTATTTCAAACCAAATAAAAATAACTATTGGCGATTGAAGACCAATTATTGAAGTATTAATTGAATCCGAGGGAACTGTAGTAACTTGTATTCGAATAATATCCGTATACAATTCATTTGATATTGATGTTGATGATTCCATTGTCGTCATTTTTTAATTAAATATAGTAATATGTGAAAGTATACTGAATTAATATCAACTTATATTTATATGAATAATAAATTATAAAATCACGAGTGAGTTTTTAATTAGTTTTATTTATATAAATAAGTGTTCAGTTCTTTTGAGGAAAACATGATCTCTTTGGTACCATCTGCTGTCGTCCCATACAAAGTTCAACAGATCATTAGACTTTGAGTACGCATTAGAATTAAAATATTTATTCTGCATAAATGCTACTTGTTATATAAAATATATTTCTTAGTTGGAAAAACAAATTCCAACGAATAGAAATTTATCATTGTTTTTCCTATATAATCTTTTGTTTTTGACGTTTGGTTATATGATGCGGAAATTCATCTCACGAATAGCCTATTAAAAGTTTAAAGGTCTTGATTATCTGTCAAAACGAGAAGGACGGAAACGATAGACTCAAAAAAAATATTTAGCACGAGAGCGGCGCTCAGCTTCGAAAAGTAAAGCACACATAAAATTAACCTAATTAATGCGAATTTTATTGAGTACATGATGGTGCAAGACAATGTAGCTGAAAATAAGGATATAAAGAATGTGGAAAATACTTTAGTAGGGTATAACAGGAAGTTTTTCGTTCGTTACCATTTGCACTCGTGTTCTACGTCCATCGTTATTCACTAAATGAACTTTATATTTGCTTGAATTGGTTTATACATAGTTAACTTTTCAATACTGAATGTGTTCTTATTCACGATTTACTATTAAATCAATTATTCAATATTTTCATCTAAATGTGCGTGATAGATACCTAAGATAATTATTCTTGCATGATCAAGTGACGTAATGTTTTTATAGAAAAGATTTTGATACAGAAAGTCTTAGTTTTACTTTTTTTTGATCACGTGCAATGAGACAACAATTGTTTTATTCTATAATGACGAGCACAAACTGAGATATTTTTATTTTAAAAGAATAACAACGAATAAAATAATAATAATAATGATGGTATGTATGAACGACAATTTGTCTATTTAAATATGTTTTTATTGTTGGAAAATATTTATTTAAGCAATGACCATTTGATCTGTTCTTTCGCATGATTAAGTACCTAGAAAAATAAAATAATAAATATTAAAATTCTATATTCATACCAATACTACAAAGGAAATCATCGTACTATTTTCTTATTCTGCTTCTTATCTTAATCAATCAAGGACTAGTACATCAAAATTAAGATGAAATATACATATAAAGTTATTAGCATGTAAATAGCGACGAATCAGATAAAAGAAGCATCAGCTCTCACATACAAATATATTTGTTCTTATTTTATTGCTATCGTTCATTTTTGAAGAACATATTAAAACCCTGTTGCAGAGCCTGATGGACAAAGAATTTGTATTTATTTCTATGAACTATTTTTCTAATTATCTGATTACTCACTTGCGAAACCGTTTGTTCGCCTAATGGAATATCATCTTGACGTAATTGAACACGTTGTGCAATTAACATTGGATCCGATTCGAGGATAATTCTAAAAAAAGACGAATATAATAAAAAATAAAATTTTGTTTTTTTTATATTTTACCCATCATCACAAATTTCATCAAGTGTAAGCATAACTAAATCGAGATTTTCATAGAGATATCGTTTTTCAACATTTTTTCGTAACATTGTACTTAAAGATTCAAATAAACATGTCAAAACAGCATTTAACATTAACTAAATAGATTTATTTATTAGATATTATTTTTAATTTAAATAAATTTTATACTTCGTTTTCGTTTGTGCTACCCATAACGTAGAAAAGTAAATCAACATTATTACGATAAACAATTGTCCAGTTATCAAGAAGGATAACATCTCCGGAACCTTTATGTGTTTTATTAAATAAAGATTTTTCGAATTCTTTTTGCTCTTTTATAGTTGCATAAGATTGATTATAATACTAAATAAAACAAACAGACATGATAATTTATTATGTCAAAACTAGATTATGTGTTACTTACTTTAGCTAAAATACGGTTACCATCATTATCTAAGATAATAATACCTTTGATCACGTAGAGTGATGGTACCTGTAACGAAAAAAAAAATATGATAACTTAAACTATCAATGATTAAAGAAGAGCTTACAGCAATAGTGTCTGATACCATATTATTAATTGAATAAAGTGATAATGAATTTGAAGATCTGGAGCAATAAAATAAAATACGTGTCAGTGAATCAATAATATGCGACGACGTGACTCGAGACTCATGATTGCTTATTCGATGTTAACCGCATATAAACAACTATTAATAATCAGATCGTACGCAAGTGACAACTATCGACAATTTATTAAAATACATGCAATATATTACAATATTTTAGAACGAAGTATTTTACTATAGACTCTTAACATAAAAAAACTTGAATTAATATATTTCATTAAAAGAACTCCACTTCAAAGCAATATTATTTCTTTTTTTTTTATTTATTTCTCATTACAAAAGACAAATCAAAGAAAAATTTATGTCCGTATGAATAATGATATTGAAAAAGTAACAATAGTGTTAGTGCAAATGTATATGTGCATAGGTATTTTTTTCTTGTTCTTTTATTATACCTGTACACGTTTTTCTGTTCATACTCATTTATCTCTCTAATAATTTTTGTTTTTGTGGTTGTAGTGATATAAAGACCCGATCATCTACAATTCGATACAAAACATGAAATTTCAGACGAGAATACACGAAATCAATGCTGGTATTCATCAATCTAATTTAGCGAAAACTTCATTTGGTTTTGATCTTTCTAATAGATCATATTTATCCAATAAATATATCGATGGATCATTTTCAGGTGTTAATAAAAATTCGATAATCGGTACGAAATATTCTGATCCGGAATTTTTACCCACACATTCAAGTATCACACAAGACAAAGAAGGAGCATTGCTCGATGATTTTGAATATGGAGCACATGAAATACGATGGTAAATTATTATTTATCTAATATTTTTTAATGAGATATTTTATCTTAAGGCTACGTCCTGAACAAATTCGATGGTCTAAAGAAAGTCAACAATATCCATTATCTGTATTCAATCAACCACAATCAAAAGATATTATTCAAGGTCGTCTTGGTGATTGTTGGTTTATTTCTGCATTATCATTAATTGCTGATATACCACAAATATTATATAAAGTTATGATTACAAAACAATATAATCCATCTGGTAAATAAATCAATATATTAATCAAAAAAAAACTAATCGAAATGCATTTATTTTAGGACTTTATAAAATTCGTTTATGTAATCGAGGAATTTGGCAAGTTGTTACTATTGATGATATGTTACCTGTATCGGAATCAAATTCACTTGTGTTCACACGAAGCCAGAAAAAACAATTGTTTGCATCATTAATTGAGAAAGCATTAGCAAAAATGCATGGAAGTTATAAGGCTCTAGAACTTGGTATGAAAAATTTATTTGGATTGATAGTTTGTGCAATAAGAGAATACTTTCATTCTTTATAGGAAGATGTGTGGAAGGTTTACAAATCTTAACAGGTGAACCATGTGAAGTAAATGAAATTGAAAATTTTGTAATATTTATAATTAATTGCATTTTCTTTATAGGTATTTTTATTACATTCAACTGATCCGAAAAAGAAACCAAATCTTAATAATATATGGGCAAAAATAATTCAATCACGAGCTAAAGGTAAAATAATCTTTACAGAATTGATTCTTTTATATAAATTATTATAAAAAATAGGTTATCCTATGACATGTTTATGTTCGAATAAACAAGTTAATGAAGAAATTTTTAATCAAACGGGTAAATTGAAATAAATCTTTTGCAATAACTTCTATTTCCTGTTTAATAGGTCTGGAGTCAGATCATGCCTATAGTATTCTTGATGCACGACAAGTTGCTTCTCAAAGACTTGTTCGTTTACGTAATCCGTGGGGTAAAAAAGAACGGACTACTTTATTTCCTAAAGAAAAACTTGCTAAACCATCAGACAACGATGGTGTTTTCTGGATACGTATGTATTTGTTGTTTTGTTTTCTGAAAATAAAATCTTCAAGAGATTTTTTTTCTTTGATAAATAGCTTGGGAAGCAGTGTCATTACTTTTTAGTGAAATAACTATTTGTAAAATTAGTGGAAATGAATATAAAGTTAGTTTTATATTTTAAAAATGAAGCTTTTTCTTATCTTTAAATAAAGGTTCGTAAAAGTGGTCAATTTAGTGATTTCTCATCGAAAATAACATCAGTATATAATCTACATTGTCCATCTGGAAATGAACTTACTATTGAATTATTTAATGCTAGTGATGAAAAATATTATAATCGTTCAAAAGATTCTAACATTGATCTTTTTTTAATTGTACTTGATTCAAATGGTACTTGTAAAGGATATAAACATAGTCTTGATTATTATGTAACATTATCAATAACAGTACCACCTGACCGATATGTTATATTAGCTGGTTCAATGTCAGTAGTTAATTATTCGATATATTCAAGATATAATTTGATTGTACATGGTGATCAACCATTTGTTCTTAATGAACAACCATCATCCTATGGATTAGTTGCGAATGCATTTTATGCAGTTGCTCTTCAAGCTAATAATCGAAAAGTTTTTGGTGATGGTGTATCGGTTTTAACATTTAGTGATGATGGGTTGAAAAATAAATTTTTGTTTTTATTTAATATAGTTTCACTTTTATTTTTTTATTTAGATGTTTTGGTTTTATTTGTGAAAATAAATCTAATCGAGCAATTCGTTTTACGAGTGATTTTTATGGATCAATCAATGTTGTTCCTTCGAGAAAAACTTTTCATACGGTTGATATAATTCCAGCTAGAACAAAGCAACTTTTTGCGATATATACACGAAAAGTGCTTTCTGACGATGTCAACATTGGTAAATAAATCTCTTTATTTCATATTTTATCGTATTCTGCGTTCTCTTTATTTTTCAGTATATCAAGTAGAATATCAGTCGTTGAGTGAATCACATGGTGTCGATCATATTCGCACAAGAAATAATCCACCAATACCTGTTAAAGCTCTCGGTAAGATTGATCTTTTTTTTGATAATACAATATGAAAATGTCTATCACTTTTAGGTCTTCATCTATTGAAACCTGTGCATTGAACTAAAATTCTTATAACAATAGTTAATTTATATATGAAAATAGATGTGAAAGATTTTTCATACTATTTTCGATTTGAGCAGTCTATAGTTTGTCTCAAAGATATAAATTTATTTAGTTATTTCAATAAAGTTTCACCATATTCTTAAGTTTAAAATAGATGGAAACATTAAGGAAGAACAAAAGTTAAACTGCAGATAAACATGAAAAGCGTAGGCAACGCAAAAATGTGATATTTATTTTCACTTAAAAAAAATTATTTTAGTTTAGCTTCAACAAGACAACTATTACTAAAAGATAAAAGTTAAACTTAAAACATTATCTTTGTATTTCCTGATAACTTCAAGAGGTGATGTCTACCTGTTCGTTTTGTAACGGACACCTTTCTTTGAATTTCAAAGCCTGTACTATTGTTTCAGAAATATTGTCAGATATCTCCGTAGATCTCAGCTCAAAAGTGGTTAGAGTTTTATTGATTCTCAGTGCCTTAGCGAATGCCTCAGCTCCTTTGTTAGATATATTATCGGACGAGAGATGCATATTGATGAGTGTTCGATTCTTTTTTAGTGCACGAGCGAGTGTCTCAGCTCCATAGTCGAATATTCGATTTCTCATAAGGTTTATTGTAGTAAGAGTTTTATTGACTTTCAATGCCATGGCGACTGCCTCTATTCCCTCATCGGATATCTCGTTCTCGTGAAGATCAAGAGTTTGAAGCGTTTCATTGCTTTCCAGGGCACCAGCAAGTTCTTCCACTCCTTCGTCAGATATTTTGTTTTCAGCAAGTATAAGAGTAGTAAGAGTTTGATTGATTTTTAATGTAGCAGCGAGAGCATTAGCCCCGTTGTTTGATATGTCATTGTATGTAACATCAAGAGTAATCACACCTTGATTATCTTCCAACGCATTTGCAAGTGCTTGAGCTCCTTTGTCAGATATATGATTGTTTTTCAAATTAAGAGTAGTTATCACGTGATTTACTTTCAAAGCATTTGCCAGTGCTTCAGCTCCTACTTCAGATATGTCACACCACTCAAGATCAATAGTCTTAAGAGTTCGATTGACTTTCAGCATCTTAGCTAGTGCTTTAATACCATCGTCATATATATTGAACCATTCAAAATTAATAGCAGTTAGAGTTTTATTGGCTTCCAGTGCATTAGCCAGCGCTTCAATCCCTTTTGTCGATAATCCAATATGACGAACAGCAAGTGTCCTAATAGTTACATTGACTTCCAGTGCATCAGCGAGTAGTACAGCCGCATCGTCGAATATGTCGCTCCATTCAAAAACAAGAGTAGTAATAGTCTGATTCACTTTCAACCTATCAATCACCATTTTCAGTCCACTCTCATACATTTCATCTTCCGAGATCTGAAGACCATTGGAATTTTCCTCGGTTTCTGATTTATCATATGACATTGCGGTACCTTGGTGAGAACTTTCGTTGTAATCAAGGTGAAGTGTAGAAAGTGTTGCATTATGTTTCAATGCATCAGCCAGTGCTTCAACTCCGTCGTCGGATATGTGGTTATAGCCGAGATCAAGAGTGGTAAGAGT